TACGACGAATTGCGACCGCACCCCCTGCGCACCTCCTTATGGCGTCGAAAAACTGCACGCCTGCCACGCTTTGCCAGCGTTTGACGGATAGCGGCCGCACCCCCAGCACACCCCCTCGTGGCATCGAGAAACTGTAACGCCAGCCACACTTTGCGATCGTACGACGGATAGCGACCGCCCCCCCAGCGCATCCACTGTGGCATCGAGAAACAGCCACGCCTGACACACTTTGCGAGGGTGCGCCGGATAGCGACCGCACGCCCTGTGCACCCCCCTGTGCTGTCGATAAAGAGCGATAAAGTGTACGCCTGCCACGCTTTGCGAGCATACGACGAATATCGACCGCACCCCCTGCGCACCCCCTGGGGCATCGAGAAAATGCACGCCTGCCGCGTCATGTGGATGTGCATGTGTTGCATGAGAGGGTATGGCGCCCGTGTCGTATGACCGCCTACGTCTGCAACGCCATGCGAATCTTGCGCGTATGTGTTGTGTGGTGTGCGTGTCAATGCGTGTGCGATTGTACATGGACGTGTGTCTCATGTGGGTGGCCAGTATGTGGCGCATACGTCGTGGGTGTATGATGCAATGAACACGCCATGCGTGTACTAGTTTTGTTGTATGGTGTGTGCGAGTATGTGCATACGTGCGGCTGTATGCAGACGCGTGTCTCATGTACGCGCCTTTCATGTGTTGCGCGCGGGTGAGGCAAGGAAGAGGAGAAGGGGAGGAGGGAGGAGGGAGGGAGGTGTGTGTGCGGGAGACGCGGGTGCGACGCGGCAGGGAAGACAACCAGAACCCCACGAAACATGTGGGGAAACACTTGCCGCCGTGCCGTGCCGTGCCCGTGCCGTGCCCGTGCCGTGCCCGTGCCGTGCGCGTGCCGCGCTGTGCCCGCGTACCGTGCCGTGCCCGCGTGCCGTGTCGTGCTCGCGCGCTGTGCCGTGCCCGCGCGTCGCACCGTGCATGCGCATTTCGAGGTCGAATCAGCGTTGCGGTTGCGGGTTTCTGTGCCGGTGTGCTCTCAAGACGTGATCCCTGGAAGATCCGAGGCCGAAAACGACGAAAGACCTGCACCCAGATTTTGTCAAGTTGCCAGGTGTCTGGGCTCTTCTTCAATCGTCGTGAGACGACGACGACGGCGGCGGCTGCGTTCAACTCGTCGCCGAGACGGTCTACGCAGTATCGAAGACGCTCGAAAGATATCCACGAGCACTCTCAATAAAGCTCCACAGGGCCAAATTCATACATGTCTCTCTGTCTTTTGAAAGATTTGGGTGTTCTCGCCTTCTCGGCCTCCCGACGCTCCCAGACAGGTCCAAAGGCTATATTGTCCCAGACGGCACAAGGCATCCCCAAGAGGGCCCCCAAACTGCCTCAGAGCGACCCAAGATGGCCCCAGACGACTCCAAGACGGCCCCAGAGGCCCCCAAGACGGCTCTAACAGGAAACCCCGACGGGCAACTCCAGCGAACATGTCGAGCCCTCGGCCCCAATACGCCCCAGGAGGCTCCAAGGGGTCCCCAAGAGGCCCCCAGGAGGCCCCGAAAAGGGCCCCACGAGGCCCCAAGACACTGCCGAGAGGCCCCACAAAGCGCTCTAGAGCACACCCAAGAGTGCCCCAAGAAGCAGAACCCATTGATGTACCGAATGTTTCTGAAGGATTTCGGCGTCCTCGCCTGTTCGGCTTGCCAATGCTCAAACACGGCCCTTGAGGCTCCCGAAATTGCCCCAAGACAGGCCCAAAGGTTTCGACAGGGGCCCCAGGACAACTCCCACACGGCCCAAAAAGCCTCCAAGCCAAGACGGCCCAATCGAAGTCATATACCGCCCACTGGCCCGCCCGAGCGGAGCCTCCATGTGTGCGCTTCATATGTTTCTCTGTCCCTCCTCCCCCTCCTCCTCTTCCTCCTCCTCCTCCTGCTCCGTCTCCTGCTCCTCCTGCTCCTCCTCCTCCTCCTCCTCCTCCTCCTCCTCCTCCTCCTCTTCTTCCTCCTCCTCCTCCTCTTCCTCCTCCTCCTCCTCCTCCTCTTCCTCCTCCTCCTCCTCCTCCTCGTCCTCCTCGTCAGCCTCCTCTCCCTCCTTTCGACATTGGCGAATCTTCGAACCAGCCTCCCGGGAATGGGGCCAGCTGCTGGCAGGAACCCCGCCTGCCAGTCCCCGCCCGCACGCGTTCCCACGGTCCACCTCCACAATATCACGTCTTTGTCTTACTTCCGCAGTTCCTCCTCTCGTTTTCCTCCTCCCTCCCATTCCCCCTCCTCCTCCTGCCTACCCGGGCCTGTCTCTTTCGCATTCTCCCCATCAGCGCTCGCGTGCTGAGCTCTCCCCGGCGGACACTTCAACGGCCTCACACGCTCGATTTGCACTTTACCGTGCCCTTCGCGTAGGAACGCGCGAAACGAAATTCCCCCCCACGAACTCGAATTTCGAGAGCTTCTTTTTACAAGGGCTCGAATCGTAAAACGCCTGCCAACTGCGCGGAATAAAACCAGCGGTCACGTAGTACGCGCATGCCGCATACCACCCTCCTCCCCTTCGTGAAGTGATCCGTATCCTGCGAATAATTCATGTGGCGCTGACGCCCGGATCCCTTGTTGCAGGCCGCGCACGTCAACTCTCGTTCAGGCCAGTTTGCCGCATCGGCCACGCTCTTCGCGGTGACCCCGTTTTTGTCACATGCCCTGCACACCACTCCGGCTCCTTTCGCCGACAGATGACGGCCCACTTGGTTCTGGTTCAAGTATTCATCCCGCAACCTGGCGCACAACACGTCAGCGGCTGTTTCCGCTTATGCTTTCCGTTTGCGATTGCTTGATTGTTTGCATCTCGCGTCAACTTGTTACGGTCCTCCGCACATTTCCGACACAACCTCTCCCCTGCCGCGCTGTGCGTCCTCAGAACGGTCGCGTAATGCGCACTTTCAAAACCAGCATCGATTCACGTACGTGTGCGTCCTGCTTCGTTCCCGCATTATCCGCGCGGACTGCTTGGATCGGCGCTGGACCCCCTCCCCACCGCGCGCAGAGCGCCAGGGGCAGCGCTGAAGGCGCCGCCAAGGACGGCCCAGCGCCGATCCAAGAAATCCGTGCAGAGCGGCGAAGGTTTATGTTTATGCAATTTGTGTTCTTCGATCCCCGGCTTCGATGAGCCCCAGGAGGACCCAAGAGGCCCCCACAAACCCCCCGAAAGCGCCCTGAATTCCAAGAGACATCGCTGCAAACTCTGACACAACACCCACACACCCCTCGGTACGAGGCCCCCGCCAAGACCAAAGAGGTCGGCTGCTGTGACGTAAGCATGTCGAATCCGCGTCCGGAAGTGACGTGCTGGGCGGCAGCGTTTTACGCGGAAGCGATAAGGCAACGTATCCAATGTGTCCAATGACTGCACAATTGCAATGTATCCCGTTCTTACATAATTGGTGCATCTTGTATTGCGTTACATTGTTATGTCTCGCCCCTGACCCCCCCCCCAGCGCTACGCTACATCCGCCGACCCAACCTGACCCCCCCTCCCGGGGCACAAAAACCTCTACAACCTACAGAAAATCTATGTTTTCGGCCTGTTCGCCCTCTTGGGGTACCTACCCAAGAGGGCCTCATGACGGCTCTAGATGGCCTCAAGGCGAGCGAAGACGCCCCCAAGACAGTCTAGGATGGCCCCAAGAGGGCCGAAAAAACTTTCAAAACGCCCCTAGAGGGCCCCAAGAGGAACCCCCAAGAGCGCCCCCAGAGGCCAACATCATTGATTTTCCATAGGGTTTTAAACAGATTTTAACGTTCTCGCCCTTCTCGACTCTCAGATGCCCATGGCGGTCAAAAGGACGGGGGGGGAGCTTCGACCACCCCCCCCCTTTTTGGAAGGGGAGCCCGGGCTGACCTTGGGCTCCGGAAAAGAAGGGGGGGTAGCTTGGAAGCCCCCCCCTTTTAGCGAGGGCCCCCCTAGCTCCGACATGCCCACAGAAGGAAGGGAGGGGGGCGGTAGCTTCGGAAGCCCCACCCCCCATCTTCCAAGGGAGGGAAGGGGTAGCTTCAAGCTGGGGTGCCCCTTCTAGTGAGAAGTGTGCCATGGGCGCGCTCCTTCTCATGTACGATACTCATGATATTCATCATGGTTTTCCTCGCGCTGCTCGTCTGCGTTATTTGCGCGATACGGTGTAATGTATTCGACGTTATGCTGGCTCGCCGGTTGTAACATCATGTCAGCACGCCCCGTACTGGTTTGGCCACCAATACGCCGAAACATGAACGTTATTGCAGTGGCATGTCCTAACGAGAAAGTAATCACGTTACGCTCTGGCTCGTCGTTCGTTCGTCTTGGGGCTCCAAAACCGTGAAGTGACGGACCGCGCGGTGACCTCGGAATCCCAACAATCTCACCGCGCGGTCCGTCACCACACGGTTTCGGGCCCTGGAGGCCCCAGTCGTCCGAGAAACCCCCAGGGGAGAGGCTCAAATCGAGCCGATCCAAGAAATCAGCGCGAAGCTCTGCGAGAGAATGCTTATGCCGTTTTGTGGCCTTGGAGCATCCCCCCTGACTCGGCGGCGAGCCCAGCGGGGAGGTCAGAGGGAGCGGGCCTGCTCAGAAGGCTCGGAAGGGCCCTGGCCTTCGGAGAAATTTCCGGAGCCTTCTCCGAAGACAGAGACGGCTTCTCCGAAGGCTAAAGGGCTTCTGAAAAGGCCCGCCGCCTTCTGAGAAGGCCCAGCCCCTCTCACCTCCCCCCCTGGGCTGAGGGGCAACGATCGGGGGGGACTGGCCCAAGGGGGGAAACATCGACCTGGAATCGTCGATACATCGCCGATCGCCAGTAGATCAGCGATAGGACCCCGATAGCGAATCCGCACCTTACTGGGAGCGGGTGGGGCTATCAGTGCCCTATCGGCGATCCACGGGCGATTGGGTGTCGATGCATTCCCCCCTGTGCCGGTCACCCCCCAATCGTTACCCCTGGTGGGCTCACCGCCGACTGAAGTAGTCCCCGAGGCGACGAGGCGGTCCTCGTCCTCCCCGTCCGCGGCGCCGCACAGCGCCCAGAGCGCGGCGGCCTGGCCAGTGGCGAGCGGCAGCTGCGCCTCTGGCGACGAGGCGCCTGCCGCGGGGGCCGCTGCAGCGGCGGCGTCGCCGCCGCCGCCGACGCCGCCGAGGTGCGGTCGGGAGCTCTGGCTCGGCGTCTCCTCTTCCTTCTCCTGCTTCTCCTTCCTCCACCCTTCCCCCTTCTGCTCGTCATCCTCCTCTTCCTGCTCTCGTGGTGGCGGCCCCCGCAGCACGCTGCAGTCAGCCCGCACAGCAAGGGCGCGCGACAAGGATGCAAGGGCCTCGGAAAGCCATGTCGACACCCTGCGGGCGGGGCGCGGCCAACGAAAGCGGCCCAGGGTGGGCCGAAGGGGAAGGATGCAAGGGTAGCCTTGGAAAGTGGCTCATCCTTACTATGCGGGTTGACCGTATGCCCTGCGAGCGGATAGCGTGTCGCTCCGCTCCGCGGGCCAGCAGGCCTCGAAAGGCTCGGACCGGTGACGCCTGGGCAGGCGGGACGTGGAGAGCGTGTGGCGCCGGAGCACGGTGGGCCAGAACGGGCGGCGCGACGCGCCAAGGCAAAGTTCCCGACCGTAGGGGCCACTTCGGGCCCGGGAAAGGCTCTGGCGTTCGGGCTCAGAGCCGGGCCGAGAAACCTCTTCGTGGCCGAGGCTCACCGTGACTAAAGAGGGCCCTTCGTTCCTTGTCTGGCGTTCCTTGTGGTAGCTGTGGCAATCGTCGTGGTCGTCGTCGCCATCACCGCCGGCGCCGTCGCCGTCGTCGTCGTCGTCGTCGTCGTCATCGTCGTCGTCGTCGCCGCCGTCGTCATCGTCGTCATCGAGGCTGGTGCAGACAACATCAGCTGGGAGCCTGTCTGCGATCGGGGAGGGCACCAAACGTCCAACGTAACGTCAAATCTTGCCCCCGGCGCTCGTGGGTCGAGGGGGAGGTTTTCAGAAGTGTTTGGCCTTCGTCGGGCCTCTGGAGGCATACGGAGGCTTGCAAGGGACCTCCGGGGACCTCTTGGGACCTCTTGGGGCCCCTGAGGGTCAAGATCCGTGGCAGCAGCAAAACTTACATAGGCGATCGGAGACGAGACCAAGAACATCCAACGTCTTCTCTCCTTCTCCTACTCCCTCCCCCTCCCTCTTCCCTCCCTCCTTCCTTCCTGCTCTCTCCTCCCTCGAGGAGGCGGATCAAGGATCCATGCAGGACTCGGACCACCTCGTCGTCGCCGCCGCCGCCGTCGTTGTTCAGCGTTCGAGGAGGAGCCCAAACATCCAACGCCTTAAAAAATCTGGGCAGGAACCCCTTGCCGTCGTCGGCATACTTTCGATCCCCAAGGCCGACTGGAAACAGCTCAGGATGAGAAGCCAGCCTTGCGGAAAGGGTCGGAACTGCCGGGTACCACGACTCGAAATTACACGAGCATATAAACCCTAAACAGCAACAATGCATGCGAAGACACATGGTGATTCAACGTCGAAATGCGCGGACACGGCACGGCACGCGGGTTCGGCACAGCAAGAGAGCACGACAAGGCACGCGGGCACAGCAAGGGACGGCGCGCGCACGACACGGGCACGGCACGGCACGGCACGGCACGGCAGGTCTTGTGCCGCCTGAGAGCTGGGCACGGCGCGGGCACGGCACGGCACGCCGGCACGGCACGGCACGCGGGCACGGCACGGCACGCGCACGGCACGGGCACGGGCACCCTCTTCACACTCCTAAAACGCAGGCGCGGCACGACGCGCGGACACGGCACGGCTCGCAGGCAGGGGGCGGCACGGCTCGCGGGCAGGGGACGGCGCGCGCACGGCGCGGGCACGGGCACGGCACGCGGGCGGCACTCTTAGGACGCAGGCACGGCACAGCACGCGGGCACAGCACGCGGGCACAGCTCGCGGGCACGGCACGGCACGCCGCCACGGACGGGCACGGCACGCGGGACGCTCACTCGCTCACTTTCCACACCCTGCACCGCAGAAGCTAGCTAGTCCAATGCAGATGGGACCCCCATGTCGCATTCGCTGCTCGATGGAGGAAAAACCCATCTGATGTCTTTGGAAGAAGATCGGGGGTCAAAGTCTTTGGGGCGTGCTGGGCCCCCAAGAGCCTCCAGAAACGCCTCCCGGAGGGGGGGGGGGTCCAGGGACCCCCTGTCGCATTCGCTGCTCGATGGGGAAAACAACTACACCTCTGATGTCTTTGGAAGGAGATCGGGGATCAGAGTCTTTTGGGGCGTGCTGGGCCCCCAGGAGCCTCCAGCAACGCCTCCCGGATGGGGGGGCTCCGGGGACCTCTTGGGGCGGTCGGCCGTCGACGGGCCTGGCGGCGCGCACGGAGCAGTGGCGCGAGGCGGGTGGCCCTCCAACAGGGCGGCTGGTGCTGACAAGGCAGGGGGCCTTCTCAAAAGCGCCCAGAGGCTTCTGAGAAGGCAGGGGCCCTCTCCTCCTCCTCCTCCTCCTCCTCCTCCTCCTCCTCCTCCTCCTCCTCCTCCTCCTCCTCCTCCTCCTCCTCCTCCTCCTCCTCCTCCTCCTCAGCGCCCTCCTCCTCCTCCTCCTCCTCCTCTCCTCCTCCTCCTCCTCCTCCTCCTCCTCCTCCTCCTCCTCCTCCTCCTCCTCCTCAGAAGGGTCCTGCACAGGCTTCTGGGGAGGCTTCAGGCATGGGAGGGCTTCACAGAAGCCCCCGCACCTTCTTACGCGGCCACCCCTCTCGCGCCACCCCCCCCCCCGTGCACGTCGCCATGTGCGTGGCCGCCTGGAAACCTCGTCATTGTCGTCGTCGTCGTGCGTCGTCGTCGCCGTCGCCGCCGTAGCCCACGGGCTCGAGGTCTCCCCGCGAGTGCGCAGGATAGGCATTGAGGAAGTTTCTCTGGGGGGCCCACACACCTCAGCAGGCGCGCACATATGTTGCCCTAACTCCCTCATGCGGCGGCTGGTCGGCGAATGATGTCCCAGCTCCGCCTTTTCGGGTGGAACCCCATGTGGTGTTCAGGGTCGCGCTCGCAGGAGACGGCTCTGGAAACTCAGAATTATGATATCATTCTTCTGGCGGGGACCCACACTCAGGATCGTCGTCAACGGTACACAAGCAGCGTCGTATCTCGCCGTCAGGTGGCAGGTCGACTTGTCGCGGGAGCCTCATGGGGGAGTCTTTTGCGTGGATGTTCAGAATCCCTGCAATATGTTCCGGTGATATATCATGGTCAGTGGGCTCCGCAGATGACATGGGTAAGAAGGGATAGTGCCGTCAAACATACACTACGGTAGCACTGAAGAGAGGAGGCCGGCCCGCCGGCCGACGCACGCGCGCGCACCGCAGGCTCGCTCCTTTTCCGTTTCCCTAGAGCCAAAGTATATAGCTGCGGGAGCAGAAGAAGTCAGTCAGCACAGCAGACGGACAACGCGTGCAAGGAGAGAGAGCAGGCAGGGCGAAATAATGGTGGCGCGGAGGGTAACAATTCACACCCCTCACGCAGATCGGCGGGGTCAGGGTCCAAAAACACAAAGGATTTGCCACATATCTTTAATTTGCTGGCACCGCTCACGCAGATCGGCGGGGTCAGGTCGCAAAAACACAGAAAGGATTTGCTATATTTCTCAAATTCGCTGGCACACCTCACGCAGATCGGCGGGGTCAGGGCGCAAAAGCACAAAGGATTTGCTATATTTCTCAAATTCGCTGGCACCCCTCACGCAGATCGGCGGGGTCAGGGGGCGAAAACACAAAGGATTTGCTATATTTCTCAAATTCGCTGGCACCCCTCACGCAGATCGGCGGGGTCAGGGTCCAACAACACATGGGATTTGCTACATTTTTGACATTCGGTGGCACTCCTCACGCAGATCGGCAGGGTCAGGGCGCAAAAACAAAGGGGATGTGCCACATTTCTGAAATTCAGCGGCACCCCTCACGCAGATCGGCGGGGTCAGGGTCCAACAACACATGGGATTTGCAACATTCCTGAAATTCGGTGGCACATCTCTGAAAATTCGGTGGCACCTGTGACGCAGATCCGTAGGGTCAGGGTCCAAAAACACAGGGGATTTGCAACATTTCTGAAATTCGGCGGCACCCCTCACGCAGATCTGTAAGGTCAAAGTCCAAAAACAAACGGGATTTGCCGCATTTCTGAAACTCGGTGGCACCCCTGACGCAGATCCGTAGGATCAGGGTCGAAAAACAAACAAGTTCCGACACTGCTTCACGGCGGCGCCCAGACCTCTTATGTCAGCTTTTGCATTTCCCATTATCCGAGACAGGGGGCTGGCGGCATGGGGCGAGGCCCTTACGGATAATTATGTCGACCAGGAAAAGGAGAGACAAGGAGCCGAAGATGAGGAAGAATAAGACCAATGCGCCATGGTGCTACCGCTCGTGGCGCCCGTGCTGTTGCTCTCGCGTGTGGCAATCCCAGTTGTGTTGCTCGCGGCCATCGTCTGGACGCCGATGCAGATGTACTGGTAGCTCAAGGAGGAACTGGCGCTCCCGTAGTTGGCATCGATGCTGGAGTCGTTGCTGGCACCGATGCTGTTGAAGATCGTGTGAGGGGGGTCAGGATGTGTCCGCCTCCATCTGGCCACGCGTCTTGACTGAATGCCACACGTATACAGATGGAAGGCCGTTTGCACGTCGTCCTGTGCCCGGTCGTGCTAACGACGACCGTCGTGCTTCCCAGGACCGTCGGCGCTGGTGTAAGAACTTGCGCTGGTGCCGGCGCAGGCGCCGGCGTTAATGCTGACGTCGGTGCTGGCGTCGGCGCTGGCGCAGACGACAACGTGCTCTCCTCGGACACCGGTGAGCCGGACAGCTCTCCAGTGCGCTGGCGTCTGTGGTGGCGTTAGCACTATAACCGCTGACGCTCGTATTGGCGTCGGTGCCGGCGTCGGCGTTTGTGCAAGCGCTTGCGTAGGTGAGTGCTGGGGCTGCTGGTATACGAGCCAATATTGGAAGTCGTGGTGGGCTCGTTACCCCTGGAGCTGTCTATCCTCGTGCACGTGCCTCTCAGCAACGTCGCGCCGCTGTCCCCTGAGCCAACAATGGAAGAACTCGTGGAGGCTGACGTACCCT